TTCCCAGCAGGGGGTAGGGAGGCCAACCTGGCACCTGCCAGTCACAGCCAGTGAGCTTCCCGGCATCTTGTGAATCCCAGTTTATGAGCTGACAGTCCTTGCAGCTCGGCTGTCACTCAGCCGGCAGCTCTTACCTTGGGGAAGGTGTGGGAGGTGTCTGGGCCTCGGGGTGCCGCCCCTCATCCAGCTTCTTGGGCAGTAGGTGCCCCGGACACTCAACCTCTCCTTCTACCCTCAGCAGCCCTGGCTTCCGGGGGAACCCACATGTCTACCTGGAACTAAGGCCTCCTGGAGCAGCCAGGTAACTTTCTGGCCCCAGCTCAGCTCACACTGCCTGAGTCTTCTCAGATGCTCCCCCAAGTCCTTCAGGACAACAGCAGTGGCTGGCAGGGGCCCCGTCACAGCCCCGAGGCCCCCACTCACCCTGTCCCACCCAGCAGCACTCAGGCATCAATGCTGTGGGTGAGGCGCCCATGGGCATCAGCCAGCATTGAGGCAGTCACTTCCAGGTGGTGAGGGCCTCAAGTCTCTCCACCTGCTCCCTTTGGAGGGAGCCCAGAGGCTGGCCTGAGTGACTTCTGAGCTCTGGATTGGCTCTGTCACCCTGGGCCAGCTCCCCACTGTACCTAGAAACAGACTATTTCCAGGATCACAGGAAGCCAGAGGCAGAGCCCAGAATATCAATGCATGGGTTCTGTGAGTGGGAAACAGGGGCCTGAGCTTCCTGGAGGCCAAAGTGAAAAGGGAGACTGACCTGCATCTGCATCACCATGCCATTTGCACAGCCACCCTTTCCTCTGGCCATGGCCTCTTGGACTGAGCCCTGGCTGGCTGGAATGAGATCTTAACCCTTCCTTCCAGAGGCTGACGGTTTAGTAGATGTTGCCGCAGACTACCCTATGCCATGAGACAAGGACCACCACCATTGCTTGGACAGGACTCTGGGTACAGAGGAAGGAGGGGCTGCTGTGCCCTCGGTGCAGACAATTTCACAGGAGGCCACACTGAAGGGGAGAGTCGGACCCTGCAGGCAGAGGGGAAGAACATCCTTGGCTCAGGGAGGAGCAGGGGCCCAGGCCCAGATCAGAGGCCTTGTGTGATGCTGGTGAGCGTAGCCGGCCAGTGCGCCTCTATGATGGTGGACAGTTCTGTTTGCACGGGTCAAGGATCAGGGAGAAGCAAGGTTTTTGAAATAGCAGATGCTGCTCCCTGAGGGTTCAACCTGTTCGCAGACTGTTAGGCACTGTACAGAACATTATTCTCCAGTCCTCACAAACTGTGGGGCCTATTTTGTCTCACCCCGTTTTACAGGTGAGACCCAGAGAGGTAGTGAGACTCAGCTAAGGTCACACAGCAAAGAACAGGAGGAAGACCAGGTAAGAACAGCTACTGACCCAAGCAGTCTGGAAACCCCAGAATATTGACCATCACATCATTGACTGGAGGAGAAAGGAACTTCCAGCACATTCCTTACACTTCCGGCAAGTTTTCCTTTTACTCTTTGGCAGCACCGGGGTTTGAACTCAGGGCCTTTTGCTTGCTAGGCAGGCCCTCTACCACTTGAGCCACACCTCCAGCTTTTTTATTCTTTACAGCTGCAAAACAAGTCCTGAGCCCTTTTTACCTGTTAGCTGACACAGTCTCAAATCAAGCTGGCATTTCAGCTTCATGAATATATTTGGGGCATTGATGGCTAAGGAGAAAGAGGGTCTGCTCCGCCCCCAACCCAGCCCCTCCAGTGACCCAGACAAAGCCCGCAAATGGGCAAACGTGGATACCACCCAGCCGAGCCACAAGGGACATACCAACTCTCCTGCCTCAGAATTCCTTCTGCTCTCCATCCCACCTCAGGGCCTTTGCACCTGCAATGCCCTGGCCAGATGGTCCTCCCATCCCTGCATGAAGCTGTCCCATGCTTACCCTCAGGCCTGGGTCTGGCCCAGGGTCACCTCCGCAGAGTGACCCATGATCACCCAGCTAAACAGTGCTCACCATCACAGTCCCTAGTCGGTCGTTGGCATACCTGTCGCTCTCTGGAACAGCTCTTACCGTCTCTGTGTATCCCTGGGCCACTGCCACCTACCACCAGGCTTAGCAGGCCCTGTGGGCTACTCCACACTGTCCCCAGCACTGGAGATGTCCCTGGCCCCTGTTGGGCTCTCAGGAGGTGTATCAAATGGACAAGTAAACATTTCTTTCCAGGTTCTTCTCTGGGGACAGCTGAGAGCTAAGGTCACAGGTCAACATTCTCAGGAACTCCCACATATTAACATGCATGCTGACTGATCCCCACAGCTTGGATCTAATGACCCCTTCCTAGAGAACCCCACCACCCCTACTCTGCCCAGGGAGCCTTGATCTGGTAAGTGCCAGAACACCAGGGCAATAGTGACATTTGGACTGCATTTCACAGTTTACAAAACTTCATTATTGTCTCCAGCCCAACAAGCCGTGAAACAACCTTGGGAGGTCAGCTGGGCAAGGGGGAGCCAGACCACTCCCATCTGAAATGAGTCACTGAGGCCCAGAGAGATCGTGTGAGTGCTGTGGTCACCAAGGCAGGAAGAAGATCCACAGTACCCCGCCCCAGACAGAGATGTCCACAGCCTTATTTCAGGTCAAAGATGTTCCAACCCAAGAACAAGAAAGATGACAGACTACCTGAGAGGCAGAGACAGGAGGATTGTGTTTCCAGGCCAGCCTCAGCAAAAAAGATAGCGAGACCCCATCTCAAAAAACAACTGGGTATGGTAGTGCATGCTCTGTAATCCCAGGAACACGGGAGGCAGAGATAAGAGGATCTCGGTCCACACTGAAAAATAACTAAAGCAAAAAGATCTGGGGTATAGCTCAAGCGGTGGAACACCTAACCCCAGTAACGAGAGAGAGAATGAGAACATAGAGCTTGGCTCCAGAGTCCTACTATCTGGGTTTGAATCTCAGCTCTGCCACTTAGGAGCTGTGTGACCTTGGGCTAGTTTCTTTGCTTCTCTGGGCCTTAATTTCCCACTCTATAAAAGAGAGCTGGCAACAGCTGCAGCCTCACCCCGAGTCGGGAGGATGAAATGAGGCAACGATGCACTCGGCGAGCCTACAGCATTGCCTAGCACACAGCAAGTGCTCACTCCGCACACAAACGCACAGCACTCAGTCGACCTCTCAGCCATGCCCTCCAAGGCCCAGGTTTGTGAGTGTCCCGTGGTGCAGTGCAAGAGCCCACAAAGGCCACCCACAAGACCCTGTGATGTGGCTGCTGTTTCCTGTGTGACTTCACACTCTCCACCTATAATGGCCAGGCAGGGAGAAACCCAACTCCAACACGAATCATGAAGCAGGTCTCCAAATTCCCCATACAGCATTCTTACTACTAGAAAGCAGGTCGAGAGCTTTCTAAGATGCCCATCCCCATGAGCTGGCCTCCCTGGCTCCTCCCGAGTCCTTCATCTCCAAATCCACTTGCTGCAGCCACAACATGTCAGCCCTCCGAGCAGGGGTCCCCGCGCCCGGGCCTCACCTGAAACATCTTCTTCCTTATACAAACTCCCAGCTCCTCCATTACAGTCCAGAGAAAGCCATGGTCAGTCCTGCACCATGATCCCACAGCCAGGGCCCCTGAATCCTTTGGCTCATTCATTCATTCCACACTGATGGGAGCACAGCACAGCCAGGACGAACCCAAACTTCCATTCTCCTCCATCAAGTGGGACTGCAGACAGTAACTTCCACACAGCAGTTGCCAAACTCAACAAGGCAGAGTGGGGAAGAGCTTGCAGTACACAGTGCGTGCTTGACTATGCCCACTCTGACTTTCTGCCTTGGCAACACATGCATGACCCAGCCAAGTGCAGTTTCACAGCTTTTGATACCCACGGCAGGTGGGATAAGGAGCCACCCTAAGCAAAGGGTCCCCTGAGAAAAGGTAGCCCGAGGCCAGAAGCAACGTAGTCAGGTGAGCATCCTGGGGTGGCCACTGATCACACACTTGGACTTGGTGGGGTGGGCAGAAGCCCTCTCCCACCCCAGCCTTCACACATTCCAACCCAGATAGGGCCCTGGGTTAGAATTTCTCATTTAAAAAATCAACATTTAAAATGGCAAGCCTGCCAAGGGGAGGGGAAGTCTTGCTTGTAAATATTTGTCTCCACAGGCAAAGCTGGGCCTCGAGCTCACAGCGGCTACCCTGGCTCATTGCTGGCCCTCTGCTCCGTGACTCCCAGCCAAATGCACAGCAGGATGTCCCTGGGGAGGCAGAAGGGACCGTCTGGTGGCCACAGGGAGCTGCGTATGGAGGTGGGTTGGCCCTGCTCCCACATCATCTCTATGGCAGCAGTCCTTAATGCCTGGCCACCCAGGGGCCATCCATCTGCCCCCCCTGGGTAGGGACAGAGAGCCCTCACTATGCAGATTCTCTGGATTCCAAAGCAAGAGACTTCTCCTGGGGGTACACCATGTTTATCTCTTATTTTGGAAAAAAGCACAAAGCCAAAGCCAAAATCCTGGGGACGTGCTGGTCATCATCACCCACCACAGGACCACACTACACTGTCTCTGCCAATGATGGCCCACAGATGAGCCTGCATTTGGTCCCACAGAGGCTGAGGTATCTCCTCCCTGGGTGGCTGAGCTGATAAATATGAGCCAGCTGAATACTTACCCAGGCCTCACTGTTTCCAGACAGTTGCTCATTCATTTACCCACTCATCCATTATTTATGGAGTACCTACCTGTGCTGGGCCCTCAGGGCTGGACACACCACCAACAAATGGGAAGTCACAGCTGAGAAGTGCTGGTTACGAGGGACACAAGACAAGACAGGAGGAAAAGGGGCCCAACCGGGTCTGAGCGGTCAGGCAAGGCTCCCCAGGGAGGCGGGGCCCGGGAGGGGTGATGGATGGAGCAGGCAGCAGCCTCAGGAGCGAGCCGTGTCCTCCAGCACACGCAGCCCATGGGGCAGGTGGACATACCCAGTCACGCACAGCCCACAGGGCAGGTGGACCTACCCAGCCATTCATTGAACTTCTTCACCTCGCTCGGGAGCCCCAGCTCTGTGAAGTCCCCAGCGTGGATGAGCACGTCTCCATAGGGCATCTGAATGGGGTCCGTCCTCGAATGGGTGTCAGAGACGCAGACAAAGCGTGTGTAGCCGGGTGGCTTGGGGGCATCATGAGGCACCGGATCCACCCTGCAGGGAGAGAAGACGCTGCAGGTCACCAGGCCATAGAGCCATGAGCCTGCAGGGTGGTGGGGTCTCCAGGATGAGGCTGACACTGCTGCTCATGACCCCATCAACTCAGATTAGATGCAATGGAACGTGGACTCACTCACTACCCAGGCAACATATTTGTGTCCCCTCCACTATGGGAACCTCTGAGGGCCATAGTGAGGGTAAAGGAGACGGTGATGGGTGCCTGCTCACCGTGCCCCCACACAGTTCATAGTATCACAATTCACCCACTCAGGACTAAAGCAGTGTTTGCAGCCTTTTGTTCCTCTCACCTCTCATGCAATTTTATCACAGCAGAGATGCTGTCTGTCTGTGTGCTGTATGTCTGTCTATGCTTTGGATACAAGAAGGTTAGACTTCTTTCACCCTCCAAAAGCCAGCTTTCACCCCTGGGGGGTGTCTGGCCACACTGAGGATGCGTGGACCAAACTCCGTGGCCCAGTCAAGAGAACTGACCCTGAGCTGAGCAGAGCGCCCTCAGTGTACACAGAGGGGCATGGGACGGAGGACTCAAGCACTCAGGGACAGCTGGCCAAGAGACCAACACACACCCTTGGAAGCCGGCCAGTCTTCTGACCCCAGCTCTGCTGCTTGTCACTTAAGTGTGACCTTAAGCAAAACACGTGGCCTGATTTGCACATCTGTAAAATGGAGCCACCTCCCCAGGCTAGAACACTCTGGAAATGAAAAAGCATGACACAAACGTAGGTTCTTTTTCCTGGGAGACCTTGTGACACCTCGTTTTAGAACCGAGGACACCAAGATCCAGCAGGCCAAGCAAGCAGTCCCAAGATCCCCTATGTAACCATGTGGCCAGGGCTGAGGACCCTGCCACGTCCCACCCAGTGCTCTCCCAACCACACGCTGCCTCCCCAGCTAAGTGACTTTGCCAGGCTCAAGACACTTAGAAACAACGCAACGACATTTCAACAAGCAGCTCTCTCCAGATGAGTCTGCCGCTCGAGGAGTTGTGTTTAAATCTAATTATGCAGCAAACCAAAAGCGGTACCATATCAGTTACATAAATACTTTTAAAGACATCTTTCTAATTATCCTTTTCTTTTCAGACAATATACTTCGAAGAAATTTAATTAACACCTTATGAGAGACGCGGGTTCAGCGTGCTAATGCGCAGAGAGCACCAGCCGCTGGATCCCCGCCGGTGAGGCACACTACGCCAGCCTCTCCCCCACCCAGCGTGTGGGGGAGCACCCGTGGACCCTCTGGAGGCTTCAAGAAAAGGCAGAATCCCAGCAGGCCAGAGCTGACCAACAGGGAGACCATCCAGGAAGACACAGGGCCCCTTCCTCCTCCCTCTCCGATTCTTCATTTACTCAGTCACTCAGTCAGCACATCCTGAGCACCCAACTGGGCGCCAGCCCCGAGCTCAGCGGAGGCCACAGGGATGAGTCAGGAGCCCACAGATCGATGGCAGATACAAACTTGGCCAGGCAGGGACCACACAGTCCCCAGCTTTGACAGGGCAGCAGAGGGGCTGGTGGTCAGAGAAGTTCCTGACCTGGTCTGGATCCTCACAGAAGCCTCGGCAGAAGGTGGGGCCTGAGCTGGTCTGGAAGCTTACCTCTCCTCTGTCCTTTGAGACCCCCAACACCTCCTCCCTAAGACAGTCCTGCAGGGAGCTGACTGTGGCTCACCTGGGTGAACCTGACACTGCTCACTAGATCATGAACTCGAATGAGCCAGTCAAATCCTCTTCTCTCTCTCTCTTTCATTTTGAACATGTCACAAAGATGTGACAAAGACTAAGTCAAAGAGACAGATGAACTGGAAAGAGAGGGAGCAGAGAGCCACCCCCACCCAGCCACCTTCCCTTGGAGAGGCTGAGCAGGCTCATCTTCCACCACCAGGCAGTCACGGGCCAGGCCTGCCGTTGGAGGCAAAGCTCTTTAATTACCTCTGCCTTATTTCCCCACGCCCTGAGGCTTCTGCGCACAGAAGACGCAAACCTAGCAATCCCCAGAGAAAAAAGTAAAGATTCATTTCCCTCTCAGTTCTCTGGCTATTTGGATTGTAACAAACACTCCACCTTGAAATGACAACAATACTGATTCCCACACACCAAAAGCACGTGGCTTGCCCAACCCTTTACCTGGGTCTGCACTCCTCACCTTCTTAGACCAGCTAAGCAGCAAAGTGTACAGGTGAGGAAACCAGGGCTCCAAAAAAAGGCTGATTTACCCACAGTCTCTGCCAGAAGCTGGCAGAGCTAAAATTTGAAGCTGGTTTTCAGTTCCAAAACTCACTCCAGGCTAGACTATTCATGGCTTTCCATCAATTTATGGACACATGCTTATAAAGGACCCTCCCAAATGCCAGATGCCTGCTCGGTGTTAGACATGCACCTGCAGAGAGGACACCCACAGAGGTCACCAGCCAGAAGCTCCCAAAAATCTACCTGTGTTTGGAAATGAGGAAAAGAGCAAACAAGATATAGAGAAAGAGGACATCACTGGACTTCTGGATCCAGTTGTGCCTAAAGCTGGTCCCACACCCAAACTTCCTAGCTAATTACATAAGCCAATCCACTCCTTTTTCTCCTTAAGGCAATTGATGTTGCATTCCTAACTCTGTGAGTGACAATACCCCAGCTAATATCTGAGTCACAACAGCCCATGGACTAAACAACTGAAGTCCAGAAAAACAAGTCCTGTGCTCAAGATCCCAGCTAAAGATTAGATTAGAACCCAGGTCTTGAAAACAGGAATTGGGCATCAACCCTCAACACCTTGTAACAGGAAAAATAAAGCAAAGTGGTTATTTCCCAGAGACCGGACGTATGGTATAGAAATAAATGCTCTTTCTTTCTTGAAGCCTAACTTGACTTTCCCAAGGTGTCTGCTTGGTGGAGTGGCTCAGAGCCCCAAAACCTGCCACCAGCTCTCCCAGCTTAACACTGGATCCTCCTATGGGAATAAGGACAGTGGGACCGGTGTAGGATAAAATACACCCCTCCAGCCTGCAGACCCAGGCTGGCACCCAGCTCAGAGACCCCCACAGTGCTCTCTGGGATGCAGTGAGAGCCTAACTGATCTTCACAGCTCGGAGCCCTGGTGCTGATGCTCACCATGTGTCCTGACCCTGCTGTTGGCTCTCTCCCCGCCGGAAGCCATCGGCTCCCTGGCAGCACAGTTCCTGGTATCAAAGGTCCACACGGGCATCAGAAGCAGAAGCAACCTGTTACCCCAATCCTGAGGAAATGGGGTACTCTGAAGGTCTGAGGTTCCAACAACACATCCAGCCATGTGACTCAGAATCAGCCACGTTGTTTTAGAATTTACAAATGGGAAACTGAGGCCCAGGGAGGGTCAGCAACTGACTGGCTCCATATTACACAACTGTCTGCACTCCCTACCTAATGCTCTTCCCACAAGACAGTGATTCTAAGGGACCCTGGCCCTAGACACCCCCTGCATCCCAGGGCCTGTGCTTCCTCCCAGCCTGTGGCTAGCTGGCCCCTCCAGCTGGAACAGCTGCCCCACTTAGGTCCAACGCTGCTGGACTTCCAAACCCTGGACTCCTGCCACCTTTCCTGGCCTGGTTCTCTGCCTGTCCTCGCTCCCTTTCCCTTCCCTTCTTGATTCCCACGCACTGAGCTGGGCTCCAGGCATACAGCCCCTGCACTAGGGCTGGAGAAGGGCCAGGGAGTCTGTGACCTGTTCTCAGGAGGTGAACAGGGAAGTGACACCAGAGTGAGGTCCGAAGGACAGTCAGACAAACAGTGGGAAATGCAGAGGGACCAGCAAGTGCCAAGATCTGAGGCAGAGGAAGAGTGGAGTGTTCGGGACACCGAGTGGGTACTGCACCTGTTGCCCGGCAGGAGAAGATGCAGGATGCAGCTTGGGAGCCAGGTGTTCCTGAGTTTGAGCCCCTCCTTCCTTCTGGCTCTGGGCTGAACCACGGCTTCCTGAGCCTCTCGGTGAGTGACCGGCTGAGTCACCACATGGTGCTAAGTGGGTGTCCCGGCTTCACAGGCTCCCCTTCCAAAGGCTCCACTTCCCTGCAGGGTGATCAGGTGCCACCCTGGCACAGCTGGGAGGGCCAAGGACAAGGGACAAAGGGACTCCTACTGGCCTGGCTCTCCTTCCCTATCCCTACATTCTTCAGAACCCAACATAGCCCGAGGGGCTTCAACAGTCTTTAAAGGCGTCCACGGAGAGTCCTTCAGAAGGACAAGAGAAAACAGCTACTGTGCCTGACATCAAGCCCCCAGAGCACCGTGGCAGTAGACCTGCAGGGTACCCTGTCTAAAGCTCGCACTCTTATCTTCTCACTAACCACCAGGTGCTGCCTGCCCTCCCAGGACCAAAGACTCGGTGCCTGGAGGGCTCTCCTGAGGTGGGGACACAGGCTTTCTCAGCCCCAAGGGGCAGAGTTCAGCCTCAGGGCTCACAACCCAGAGGCCCCTTGCAGGGCTTCATCACTCAGGCAAAGGCGGCCTCATTACCAGCAGGGTCTCTGGGGCAACTGCATAAGTCACGTGGCTCAATGAGAGGCCACGTTTGCGCTGTCACTGTTGTTATTAAATATAAACTGTGGATTTATTAGCTAAGGTCCCCTTGCTCCCTCACCCCGGAGACAAAGCCCAGGGCGGCGATAAGTCACACATCGGGAAGTGGCATCTATCCTCTTCACCTCTCCCCGAGCGGAGCAGCTGACTTGCCACCTCCAGCAGCCTGCATACCTCCCCGAGCTCAGGGCTGGAGTCTGAATAAAGAAGGTGGGAGAGCACAACCCCGAGTCCCTGTACCCACGCTGGCTTCACCCTGTTCTGTGCAAAGTTGCATCTCTAAGCTCCAGGCCTTGCCCACATCACTCAGGGCCTCTGAGCCCCGTTGCTGATGGGAGCTGGGACCCTCTCTGCTGGGAGGTGGCACACACAGCAGGCCAGGAGAGGAGTGGTCCGGACCAGGGGGGAACCCAGCTAGCCCACAAGAAAGCCACTAAGCTCAGTCGCCATAGCACTTATGCGGCCAATGTCACATACTACATCCAACATGCTTTTCTGACACATTTGCTACCTGTCTGCATCCTCCTGGAGGGAAAGCTCTGTGTGGAGAGGTGCTAGTCCTTCATCGCTGTCCTGTGCCAAAACAGAGCCCAGGCCCGATGGGCACTGTGCTGTCAGTGCTGAAATCTGCCATCCACCTGTCCTCACTCTGTGCAGACTTACCTGTTATACGCCAGTACTACGATAAGCACCACTTTATGGTTGGGGAGACTAAGGCACCGAGAAGCAGGAACTCCACCCAGAAAGGCCAGGGTCTGAGTTCCTAACAAGCAAGTAAACTGGTTGCTCCCAACAATCCTGCATGAGCGAATGAAGAAAGAAGGACCTTCCATTGCTCACTGTATAAATGAGAGAAGTCACCCCTCTCTCATTCGGTCATTCACTCACTGTGTTCCCTCAGGACATGGCCTGGCCTGCAGGGGCCTGCAGTATCTCCCACCTGGGCCCCTCTGCCCAGCTGGGCATCTCTATAGCTCTTAGACACCCACTCCTCACAGCTATCTATGGACTCAACCCTGTGCTCCTTCTGCCTGGCCCCGTCCTTCTCACATCCATCCCAACTCACTCTTCCTTCTCCTCTGGGTCTCAACCTAGAAGTCATCAACCCCAGAGGGTCCTTCCTACAGCCCCCAAATTGGCAGGAGCCTCTTTAGCCCTACTCCCCCATCTTCCTGTTTCCCTGGCTGTAGACTATGGTCTTGCTGGGTATCTCCCAGAAAGACCAATGACAGCTGTACATGGTATCTTTTCTGTGGCTGGGACACTCAAAAGTGGGTGTGCACGCAGACATGCACTGTCTCAGCTGCCCTGTCTGAGGGCCTGAGGCTCCCCCATGGTCCTGCTAGGCAGAAGTCAGCACAGTTTCCAGGGACCTCAGGCAAAGTCACCTCCAACCTGCCTGGCTAGAAGACAAACCTCACCAACAAAAGAGAAAACAATGGAGTGCAGTGGGTGGAGAGGGGTGCTCTTTAAACCCAGCGCCTTGTACCCTGCCCAAATCCACCAATCTGCCCTTCCCCCAAAAAAAAGATGAAGGCAAATTCCCAGATAAAAATCTACCCAACAACACAGTAGGCGCTTCTGACAACGTGGACCCTGTAGCCCCATGGAAATGGGCATTGTGGGAGCAGGCACTGCTGGGAAGATGATGTTCCAGTGCCAAGCCCAGCACCTTCTGGGTCCTTCCAGTGCATCATCTCCTGCACCACCCTTTAAAACCTTAAGGCCGAGGGAAAACACAGAAAGGAGTGCTGCACCCCACCCTGCCGCCCTGCAGGCCTGGTTTGCAGCCCCCAGGGCTCTTTCTCTAAGTGACCTTCATGTCAGCTTCTCCTCAAGGGACCGTTGCTGGACCCCACATGAATGCACTGCACAGACATGGCACCCACAGCCCTAGAGAAGGCTCAGGCCATCTGATGCAGCAGGTGGCCAGGACAGCTTCCACAGAGCCCACAGCACTGGATGATCCCCTGCCACAGTTCTGACCTCCCTGTGCTGTCCCAAGGGAGTCATTGGTCCCCACTCGGCAAGGCCTAACCATGATCCAGACCCTGCAATGGGGCCAACACTGAGGCACTAAGCATACCTGCAAACTGAGCTAAAAACAGCTGACCTCTGGGGTGGAGTTCACACCTCCACAAACATCCCAGTCAAAGGATGCTGAGAGGCTGAGCGTAAAGAGCCCTGGACTGAAGTCGCACAGCATGGGTTCAAGGCCAGCTGCAGTGCATGCCTGATGTGTAGGCCTGACTGGGTCACCTCACTGGTCAGGGCCACTGGCTCCTCATTGGGTAAGGCCTACAGTGCAGGGCTAACAGAAGGGGGAATGGGGATAAAGAAACCAAGAAGTCACCCAGAGTAAGACCAGGAGTGTATACACCTCCACCCCAGGCCATCCACACCTTCCTGGACTGCAGAGAAAACCCAGGGAAGGACACAGGCTCCAGGACACGGGCTTCGTGCTGCCCCAGGGGCCCCACAGTCTGTGCACTCCCAAGGCCGCCATGCTCAGGCATCCCTGACATTTTCCATCACAGCCCAGGGGGTGGCAGAAACCTCTAGAGCTTTCAGCAGAACATTTCTGCTTTCCCTGCAGAAGCACACAAGAAGCGGGAGGGGCAGACAAATGGCCCAGGACTGGGGTTCTAACCTGTCATGGGGCTTATGGCAAGTCCCTTCTCCTCTCTGGGACTCAGTCTCCCCATCTGAGTAAATCAGATGGGGTGGAGGCAGGAGCAGAGATCATGAACTGTGTGTGGCAGTGGGGCAGCTGGAACTCAGTCCCCAAACATTGCCCCAAAGACATGTGGCCCTGGGGTTGCTAGGTTTAATCAAGCAAGGCCAGAAGCCTGAATTTGTCTGCACAACCACATCATTTAAAAAGATTTGTGGAACATTCTCCAGGCCAAACAAAACAGCACGAGGGACCATCACTGGTCCCGAGGCCACCAATCTGTGATTTCCCGCAGGTCCATCTTCACTCCGGCCTCACTGGTCCTACATTGCAGAATGGTTTCAGTTCACAGAATTGTGTAGGTGTTCACAGGATCACCCAGAAGCCGGGGGGTACCTCAGTTCCTGAGCCCACCCAGTGGCCGTCCAACCCTGATCCAGTGGTCCCCAGCCCCCACTTACATCTGCACGTGCGGTGGCTGGAAGCGGCCCTGGTTGATGTTATAGAAGGTAAAGGCCTGGGTGGGGTTGGAGCTGTACTCGTCCACCTCGATGATGAGCCGGCTGTGCTGGTGCCGCCGGGCGGTCATCACGTGGGACTGGGAGAATGCCATGCCCAGGCCACAGGGGAGCAGGGCCAGGGCCTCGGCCTTCAGGACGCCGGCATCCCACCTAGAGCGCCACATGGACCTCCGCAGGCCACCCGGGCATCTCCCACCACTGCCGCCGCTGCCGCCCGGCCCCCCGCCAGACCTGCAAACAGACTGAGGAGACAGAGCAGAACCGTGCGACAGTTAATCTGTTTGGGATTTGCTTTATTTAATGTCAGATGAAGATTCAGAAAGAGGGAGAGGGAGGGGGAGAGGAAAAAAACACAGTCGTATGGCTCAAAAACTCATTACAAATCTTTCCAACTCAGCAGTTTGATGAATATACTTTGGAAAAAAGAAAAGGGAGGAAGGGAGGGGACAAGGAAAGAAAAAAAAAACAGCCCCACCACACCGTGGATGGTTGCGTGCATGGCCCAACATGTTAAAATACTTAAGACATTTTTTTATCCTTCAATAAAATCCTCCAGAGCCCACAAGGGTAACAGTGAGCTGGGGCAAGACAATGGCTGGTATTTTGTAAACAGGGAAGTTGAGTTTTACTTTTCAGAACTGGGGGACAGGAAGGATTCCCCTCCAAGGTCACCCCCTCCCCACAAAACCCCAAACACACCCACACAGGCCCACACCCACACCCCAGCAAGCCTGAGCAGGTGCAGACAGCAAGAGGAAAAATTCCTTCCTCCACATCAATTTAGCCTCAAGAAGTCTTTTAGCAGCTCCCAGAGAAGGGATTTTCCCCAGCCCAGGGCCTTACACCTCCACTGGAGAAGAGTAGGAGGGAGAAGCAGTCTCTCAATGCCTTGCCCTGCCCTGGCAGGATCTCAGGAATTCCCAAGTTCCTGTTCATCCTTGAATCCACTTAAAACACAGCTGACAAGTGCCATCATTTTTTTAAAAACGTGTTCTTTCATTGGAAAGAGCTGTTTGCATTTATATTTACTGGACCCTGAATTTACTGGAATACTGGCAGATCCAACCTTGCTACGCAGATCCAGGTGACTTGTCCTACCCCAATGTCCTCAGCGCTATGCAGCCAACACTTCCTTACTAATACCATCGCTTTTTTTTCTGGTCCTTTTCATAATTATTTCTTAAATTATGTAAGTAGGAAATGCCTTGAAGAATTGTTTGTTCCTGTTGTTTTCAGGTGTTGATCATGAAAACCCTCTGACCATTCTATTTGCACCGCATTAACCAAGAAGAAAATAATGTAATTTAAACTATTCCTGGACAGTCATCCCCCAATCATATTAAAAAGGAAGGAAAAAAAAATCCCCCTGGTTTGCACTTGGAAGAAGAATCGACACAGAAAATAAATTAGATTAGGAAAATGACAAAAATTAGAGACTGGAGAACATTCTAATTATGTGCAAAGGAGAAATGGGTTATTAATTTTTTAAAAATCTTGATCGTCCCCATACAAGGTAAAATAAAATAGCAATATTCACTTTGTCCACCCTCCCTCCAAAAGCACATCCTGATTCACAACACATCTCCCTTCTCCACTCAGGAAGACCAAGAGAAAGAGGGAGAGGGAGAGAGACGGAGAAGGAGAGAGATGCTTTATCCTCGGGACACTCTTGTTCCGTTGTCACTGTAAATTGATCCTAAGTAACCGCCTTCCCTATGGATGCCTGTGTAGCAAACTATGAGGTGGGGGACCCAGGGTGTCCTGGCCTTGGGGTTCACAGGCCACCTGTGCTTCTCCTGTGTGTAACTGCTGTCAGGCATGGAGCACACGGAGCAGCCCTGTGACAGCCCCGGAGCACGAGACATCAAGGTCCAGGGCTCCATCTGCTCCGAGCCAGTCCTGCCTGGATCTGGATGGGGGTGTTGAGCCCCTGCACTGAGCTGCATGACACCCTACCCTCCTTAGCCTCAGCTTTCTCCCCTGGAAAATGGGTGTAACCTCCTCCTGAGGTGGGTGTGTGGGTTAAGTGAAGGAGTAAACAGGAATCCTAAGTACAATGCCTGGCAGGTACCAGTGCTCAGTGATAGTGTTCACTGTGACTATCATAATCACTACTCTGTTCAAATTTGAGCCTGAATATGGAGGGCCTGCTGCCAGCCAGTGCCGCTAGGGTACTGAGGCACCTTGCATGGGTACTGAGTCCCTCACAGAGTCCAGAGAAGACAAATCTTTCTCAATGCATACTAACTGCATCACACGCTGCCTGATGAGCTTGTCAAGGCTCTTCTGATAAGGACACTTGACCTGGAGACCCTGCCCATACTCAGCTACCCAAGCCAGTATCCACTGGGCTCTTGCACCCCATGGCCTCAGCCGAAGGGTACTCTTCTATTCTTCCTGACCATCCAATCCCAACATTTCATGGGGGGCTCTCTTTAGTGCTCACTACCTGTAAGGTAGGTAGCCCTAAAGTTCACGTTCTACAAATGAGAAACAATGTCTCTGGCCCAGCATCACACAGCAAGCAGGTGGCAGAGCTAGAACCCAGGTTCACCAGGCTGCCTGGTGGATCACTCTGCTCTCTTCCCCAACTGGCTAAAGGCATTCACACTACACCTCTCAGCAAAGACAGGCCTTGATCAGAGACCCTCGTTCCATGGTCCGGCAAAGAGCAAGAGTCCCCTGAGGCTTTGTATCCCTTACTGACACTGAATGCCTCTATCTCTGACCATAAGCAAGCAGTGTGAACTCCCAGAGGCTCAGAGAACAAAGGCCACTGACTCCCAGAGTTGTGAAGATAAAGCAAGGTGGTCTGTGAGCTGCTCATTGCAGAGCCTATCACACAGTAACTGCAGAGGAACGTTTGCTTTGTTTTCTTACATTAGTATCACCAGAGAGCCCATTACGAACACTTCATAAATGCTGAATTACTGAATGTATGGATAGAGGGACGGACGGAGGGAGGGATGATGGGTGGGTAGATGGGCAAAAGGAAAGAATGGATGGATGGGTATATGGGTGAATGGATGGATGGATGGATGGATGGATAGACAGACAGGCAGACAGAATGTGTCTGGCCAGACCCCTTCCCCAGCACCCAGCACAGGCCCAACAGAGGGCAGGGGTCCAGACTGCTCAGCCTCACATATATCCACAGCTCTTTCCCTTCACCTAGCCCGCCATGCTTCAAGGGGGCTGACCAGCCTGGGCACAGCCCTGGTGAAAGGCAAATCCCAAGGTCCCCCAACTCCTGCCCCAGGAAAGCAGGTGCTGCCACCGTGGGGGACTCAGCAGAAAGAGGTGGGAGGCGGCTCCGTGGTAAAATGCTACATTTCACATTAAGGGGGTTCGAAATGGGCCTTGCTTGGAGAAACCAGGGAAACTGGGAACGCAGAACCTTCTTTTAATACCCATTTAATATTTATGTGCTGCAGCAGCACACCAGCCACCGGCGAGAACACGCACATTCTCTGCCGCGGAGAATTCACGCAGGGGGAGCAGCATCCCTCTGCACCCGGCTTTTAGCTGGGAAGCGTTTGCACCTGGTCCCCAAAACCACATAGCAGGCACACTCTGGGACTGCAGCAGGGAGACTGCCTAGTGGGCGTCCTGGCTCCCCAAACCGCAGAGTGACCTTGAACAAGTCACATGGCCTCCCCCATGCAGCCATGGACTGCGAGGAGCTGCAGAAGGAAGTACAAATGAACAAATGATTCTACTAATTATTCAACAAAGATTTGCCAGGGCCCTAACTGTTGTTGGCCCCTATCCCAAAAGAATGTTATAGGGCAGGAGGAGGATGATAAACATGTGAGTAACAAAAAAAAAGGCTTCCTGACAATGATATGCACGTGGAAGAAGACAGGCAGGGTGATGCGGTTAGGGCTAATGGTGTACTCTCAGCTGGTGACCAAGAAAGGACTATCTGCAAAGGAGACCCCTCACGGCTGCACTGTGGACACTGGACATGTCACCCAGCCTCTCTGTTCCTGCTTTTTCACTGGTCTCGTCTTAAGGTTACAGGGAGGGTGGGAGGAGCCTTGTGCCTGCCCCACCAAAGGCCCCAGAGTGGGAGGTTTCTTTCTGGCCTGACATTCATTGAAAACTTCTCTCCATGTCATAGGGCTTGCTTTTCTGAACTGTCATCCTCTTGCAAGATGGTCTCTCCTCTTTCCGCTTGAAGAGGTCTATTTCTGGTCTTTAGGCACCATGAGTCCAGTACAGTCAGACACTCAAAGGGGAGCCTGGTTGCTCTACAGACACCAAGGAGCAAGTAGCCATGAGGGGCCAACTGCATGCAGAGCTGATGTCTAGGAAAGAGGTCTGACTCCTGTCCCCAATCTATCCTCATCCCCTCCACCCCACCATGACCTTCTGCTGACTTGGGCCCTCTGCTGCCACAGCTTTGCCACAGCCACCTCCAGAAAAACCTTCTTAAAGCATGCCGTTCCCCTTGGTGTTCCCAGCCTTCTCAGAGTACCTGCTGCCCTTAGGGAAGCCAACTACTCTCAGCTCCAAAGGCCGCACCCACCCCAGCCTCCCTCTCATTCCTCAGGCCCAGCTCAGCAACCGAGAGTCCTGTGCAGAGCTACCAGGTATGCTGCACCCTGCATGAAAAGCTCCCCAAGCCACTCCACCCCTGTGGCTGCCTGCCCATTTCCCAGCTCCTGCTCAAGACAGCTCAGAGCCTTGGAGACATCAGTGCTGACCTCTCCACCCACAGCCCCCGGGGCCTCCCTTTTCAAAGCCCCTAACACAAGCCCTGGTTCTGTGAGCTGAAGGCAGGAATGAGCGAAGGAGCAAATAAACAAGTGAAACTACACAGGCCTTGAGTCCGCAGGGGGGTTGGAGATCTTTAACCTCCTCAGTCTGGGTTTTCATCTGCAAATGCACATATGCCAACCCCCACCCCACCCTGGCTGGGAGGCGGTGCTGGGCTGAAAGGGCACAGGGGATGTACAAGCACACAGCCACAGTGGAAACTCCGACACCCAATAGGCGCTCACTAAGTGTACTTCCACTCTGCTAAGGAGGTCCCAATGAAACCCAGGAGTTCTGCATTCAAATGGCCCCACACCCCGTCCTCCCCTACCTGGAAGCCAGGGGCTCCTCAGCCCTTCTCCCCTTCCTCATGGTTACTCTGCTTCCCAGCATGGGTAGCTATACACATCTGGCACAACCTGCCCTTGGCTAGTTTTTCTAGGTGCTGGAGGACACTGGTCAGCCCCTAAACATACACTGC